TGCCTGGGAACCCAGTCTGAAAACCATTGCTGTAGAGCAGAAGAGAGCAAACTTTTCTGTAAAAAGCTATATAATAAATATTTTAGGCTTTGAGGACCATATGAGTTCTTTGTTGCAGGGTGTTGTTTTTTCACTCTTTAAAAATGTAAAAAAAAAAAAATGTAAACTCTAGGGACCGCGTGAAAACAGGCTGAGAGCCCCATTTGGCCTGAAAGCCACGATTTCCAGTCCCTGCTGTAGGGGATAGTGAGGCGCTGGGAGTTTGGGGAACAGAGTGAAGGATGGGCCCCAGAGGCAGAGCCCCCGGTTAGAGGCTGTTGTAGAAAAACACTCATGAGACAAAACAGCCTTGGTCCAGGTCCGCGGGGACTCGGCTTCCCAAACAACCACCTGAGCTGTGGAATCCTCAGCAGTCTCACCCAGACCTTGGGCGCAGGACGGCAGGCCTGGAGCCCAGTCCTTTGGCTGGTCTTGGACTGAGCTTAGGAAGGGCGAATGTTCCCCAGGGCCCAGGTGCAGTCCCTCAAGGTCCACTCCATCCCAGAGCAGGTGTTGTGAGGGTCTAGACTCCAGCCCTCCGTCCCCTCCCCAGTGTTCTCCACGAATACAGGCTCACGCTCCTCCTAAACCCTCCCTGTTCCTGGACACTGTACCAGCTCCCTCCTGGACCCTCCGCCTCTGCTCCTCCCTTCACACTAAATGACAGCTTCCCATCAACTTGACCCTGACATCCAGCCTGAATGCTCGGCCGCTTAGAATCCAACTGCAGATCACGCAGCCTGTTCTCGCAGCCCCACGTCCCCTGCCTCGGCTGCCCTGCCTGCTCTCTGCTCCCTCTCACGCTGACAGCCTGGCCTGGTCTGAGCCCATGCTCTCCTCCACCCTCCAGGCCCAGTACACCCACCTCCTCTGCACACCCTCTTCCATCCTTCTCTCCTCTGCAGTCCTCGGGCACTCACCGTCTGCACCGTGCCCTTGGCATTTAGCTTCTGCGCTGAATTGTCAGGCGAGCCAGATAACTTATGGGCAGCAGCTAGCCCACTGCGTGGCACATGGCAGGTGCTCAGCGATTACGTCCTGGACGATGGGTTTGTTTATTCATTTATCCAATGGCTTTAAGTTGGGTGTCTGAGCTGTATACAAATGTGCCTCTTTGATCATGGCTATTCTATTTCTCCTGCCTCAGATGCGCTTTGTGAGCTTGATTGATCTGCATGTTAGTTAATGAGTCATTACAGGATCCTGTCTTTAAACAATGGCCAAAACAGAGGAGAAGGGGAAAAAAAAAGCTCCACTACGCGGTGCACCAGGGCCGTCCTGAGGCCGCAGTGCTGTGTGCTGCGCGGTGTAATTAACTCCTCCGTTAGGGTCAGTGCTCTGAAATGTGGTTCACATCCATGGCAGTGCTAACCAGTGATGTGAATCATTTTATGGCTCTGGGTTCTGGCCTTCAAAGCAATATTTTCCCATTACAGGCCTAATAATCATGCACTCCTTTTTGGAGACGGCCTGGTGAGCGGTGTCCCCTGCCCAGGGTCTGGCTGGAAGAGGCTGACTGGTGACAGAGCACAGCCTTAGTCCCCGCAGAGCCCAGGCCCCTCCTCCTGCAGAAGCCACCATCTCCTTCTGGCATTTTATGTACAGCAAGTATTTGCTGAGCACTTGCTAGGATCCGGAAAGAGCTTAAGGGAGATTTTGTGGACAAGCATGGTCCCTGCCTTTGGACCTGAGACCTTGCTGGGATACTCTGAGGCAGTGCAGCCAAGTGACAAAGAGGCTGGCCTCTAGCTGCCTGGTGTAAGTCCTACTCTGCCTCTGAGCTGTGTGAGCCTAGGCGAGTTGCCTTTCCAAATTTGTAAAAGGCAGGTGATCAATGTAGCTATTGTGTTTTTTCCAGGACTGGAGACAAAGTAGCCATTGTTGTTGCTAGGTTTTACATTGAGTTCACACCTTGGAACAACAGAGTTAGTGTCCGTTCTTACAGTGAAGAAATAAGAAAAGATGATTTGTCTAGGATTAAGGGATTGGCAAACTATATCCTGTGGACCCAATCCAGTTCATCACTTGTTTTGTAAATCAGGTTTTATTGGAACGCAGCCACACCTACTCAAGAACATGTGTATGGCGGTGTTCGTACTATCCCAACAGAGCTGAACAGGGCCAACAGAGAGCCCATGGGAAAGGTTTACTATCTGGTCATTGACAGGAAATGATTGCCCACCTTTACTCTAAATGATAACTGCAGTGAGGATCCCAGAGCCTGGCGATCTGTCCATGCTGGAGGATCAGGAAGGGTTTGGAAAACATCGTGCTGTCCAATATTCACTAGGCCCCTGACGTGTGCCTGGCACACAGACACGCAGTAGTGTACAGAGGGCATGTCACCTGTCCCTGCCCTCTGGGAGTCTCTGGTCTAGTGGAAGGGCAGGTGTACAGACAGATCACAGCCCAGTAGGTAAGTCCTGAAACAGAAGAGCAGAAGGTGTTGGCAGGGAGAACCCATCTTGCAGAGGATGGTCAGAGAGAGCTCACACCAGTCAGAGCTCACCAAGAGAAATTTGCCAGGGGGCAAGAGGGAGAGGGAAGAGACTGAGTAAATCCTGCTCCTGATTAGGCCATCACGGTGGGGATGCCCAGGAGCTCAGGTGGTCACACAGGCCGTGTGATGGGGAGCAGATGCAGAGGTCCCCCACCTTGTGTAACAGGTAGATAATGAGACTCCAGGAAATGTTCTGCATGATAGGACCACGGGGGGCGGGCTGGGGGGCAGTCAGGGATTCCAGCCCAAGCAGAGGATTCCATGATGAAGCCACTAGCCAACAAAGAACATTCTAGTTGGGAAACTTAAAAGGGCCAAGGAACCTCCCACCCACTATTGATAGTTAAATTCCCTCCCATCCTTACTAACATCGCCTCCTCTTCTGGACCATCGCTACCACCCAGCAATTGCTGGTTTCCAACATCCCTCAGTGCTGCTGCTCCTAAAGAAGAAAGCTCATGTCAGGCCTGGCTTACAACTCTCCATAACTGTCTTTAGGACACAGCCCCAAATCCTTAGCGTGGAAGACAGCTTTCATAATCTGGCTCCTCTTCACTACCCTTAGGTTGCCACCCCCTGCTTCCCTCTCCATTAAACAACTCCAGGTTCATTACAAGTCTCTAAAGAGCCATACTGCTCCACGCCTCTGCGGCCCCCTCTGCCTGGATTGCTTTCCCCTCCATTTGTTGGACTCCTCTGGCTCACCTCCCAAACTCAGCCTGGGCTTCACTTCCTCCAGAGAGCTCCTTGACCTGTTCCCTAGCCAATGAGCTTGCTCCCTCCCCTGTGTCTACCTGTAGACCTGCTCACATACTTAGGTCTCTTCTTAGCCAGAGATTTTCCTCTCTGTGCCCCACATCTATGCCGAGGGCACCAGGTTCATCAATGGGTACAAGATCAGTTTGCTTCTGAGATGCCTGAAGCATCCAGGGGTGAGGCTCTGCTGGCATCCTGGCAGGATAAGGGTGCTGGGCTGTTGAGTTTGGACAGAGGAAACCTGCAGAAGGCCTCAGTCACAAGAAGGAAAAAAATATCCACAGGGATCGTGTAGTCCTTGGGTTGTAGAGTAGAAAGCCAAGCCACCTTGTCCTCCCCATTGGGGGAGGGAAGGTCATTGTCAATTGAAGCCAGTTAGAAATGGACAAAAAGAGACCCAGATTGAACATTAGAAGTGAGTGACTCTGTGCATCCCGTCTTCATGGATGGGCCAGAAATCTGCACATCGGCCCAGATCCCCCCACCCCAGCCCAGCCCCGAAGCCCTGAATGTCCTTAGGCCCTGACCTCTTCTCCACCACCGCTCTCCATTGCTCACCTGCGCTGACCCCAAAGCCCAGAACCTTCTTCACCACTTGCCTCACTTCTGCCCAGCAGCCAGCCTGATGATGTCACCTCCCTCCAGAGCAAAGCCACTTTTTTCAGGGGACAGGTATAAGACCTTTGGGACCCAGCTCCAGGCACACTTCTTGCTTTCCGGACCTTCTGGAGTCACTTCCTTGCACTGAAGCCTCAGCTGCGTGGTCCCTGGAGCCAGGTAGCTGGCAGCTGTGCCTGTTGGTAGAGCTGTCATTACACCAAACAGATCATTCCGGAATGTTCCATCTCTGCCACAGCGCAGGCCCTGGGAACTCCTTCTCACAGTGTCCCCTCCCTCTGCCAGCCACACACTTTGGTCTGACAGTCTTTAGCCATCAGAGTTCCCTCAGATGCTGCCTTCCTCTACAAAGGGGTCCAAGAAGTATGGACCCCTTACACCAGGTCCTCTACAGAGTGGCCTCCTCTCCTGCCCCAGTGGCAGGTTCCTCTCTGCTCCCCAGTCCCCACCGTAGCCCCCTGTCACCTATACTGTGCTTCTCAGTCTACTTCTTGGACCCCTTTGTCACTCTAGGCAGGGACAGTGTCTTGCTCACTGTGAAAGCTCCGCCCCCTGACCTGGCATATGGCTGGTAAATATTTGTTGAAGACAGGCCTGAGAGAAGTTAAGAGGCAGGAATCTTGTCAAAATCCCCTTCTGAGAACATTTATTTATTCAACAAACAAAAAGGATAGAGAAAAGCAGGCAGAGAAAGACTAGTGGAGGCGTCTCCAGGCCCCTGGGGGCAAGGGAACCGAGATTCCACATGTGGCTTAAAATATTGCCACTGAGCCCCCAGGGATTTCTATGCAGTAGAGTGTGAAGACAGAGTCCAATCCCATCTCAGCCGGCCAGATGTGCCTGGTGCTGCTCTGACAGCCCTGGAATGAGGCAGCTGTGCCATGAACTTCTTCAGACACAGGAGGCCCCAGAGGACATGTGGCCTAGAGAGAAATAGTTCACAGTCCTAAGGGTGGCACAGAAATGGTCCGTATGCCTACAGTGACTGTGGACATCAGGACCCAATGAGGAAAGTTCCTGCTGTCCTCTAGGCTTTGGGAGACTCCCCCGCTTCCCCTGCCCCTGCTAACCCTCTGCTCCCCCCTAGGTGATCAAGCTGGCCTTCGAGGAGTTTGATTTGGAGAGGGGCTACGACACCCTGACTGTCGGGGACGGTGGGCAGGATGGGGACCAGAAGACAGTTCTCTACATGTAAGTGAAGTGCTGTGTGTGATCCAGAGGCTGGGACGGCACTGGGACCTTGGCTGAGGGTGGGACTTACCGAGTCCTCCCTGGCTCCCACACCTCGCTGCAGCAGGGACCCTGTGGTTGCTTCAGCAGGAATCCTCTGCCTGTCTCTACTCCTGCCAAGCGGGAGGAGCACTGGGCCAGTCCTCACTGGGAATTCACATGGGAAGTGCCCAGAGTCTCTTCAAGGCCAGGGCGAGGCTGGGGTTCCCGCATGGTTGCCTGCTTCTATGCAGACCCCGCGTGCGTCTGCTGCCCAGCAGGGTTTACTCCAGAGCTGGCCCCCCACGGCAGAGCGACCTCCCACGGAGCCAGGGGAAGCATGTTCACAACTATCTGACTCCTGAGATTGGAGGTTCCAGAGAATCGAGATCAGATAGAAGTAGTGACCCCGTTTCCTGAGTGGAGGAAGGCCCCTGTGGTGTGGTGTAGTCAAGGGAGAGGACGGTAGCAGGCTGTCCTATGATTCCACTATGTTGGGCCTTTGATCTCGGGGCCAATGAGTTCTCCTCTGCCACCACTTGTAGACCCACCTGAGAGCTGGGGAATGCTGCCCTTTGGTGCATGTGGCCCAGCTTCAGAGGCAACGGGCCTCAGGGCGGGCCTAGCCCCCTGATCTCGAGATGTTGTCAGTTGGGGAGTCATCTTACTCGGGTGCCATGGTGGGGCGCACCTCTCTGAATCTCTCTCTCCTGACAGCCTGACAGGTACATCGGTCCCAGATCTCATCGTCAGCACCAATCATCAAATGTGGCTCCTCTTTCAGACCGATGGCAGTGGCAGCTCCCTGGGATTCAAGGCTTCATATGAAGGTAACTGTCCTTGGAGAGCCCAATAAACTTCACTGCAGATGCCAGAGACTTGGGGTCTGGATTTACAGTCACAAATCCTGGGTTCAGATCCCAGTTCCGCCCTGTGCAGCTTCATCAGGCATGTTATTCAGCCTCTCTGAAATCCAGCCTCCTTTATTTGGGGGCTTTCCACATTCTTTTTTTTTATTTTAGTTGTAGATGGACACAGTATCTTTCTATTTTATTTATTTATCTTTATGTGATGCAGGTTTCAAACCCAGGACCTCACACGTGCTAGGCAAGTGCTCTACTGCTGAGCCCCAGCCCTAGCTCCTTCCCACATTCTTTTGAGGACTGTCTGAGATAATTAACTTAAAATGTTGAGCCCAAGTGCCAGATTCACATAAAAATCCCATGCCCAATTTATACCTGGCTCATGTGGACTTTTTTAAAGACCCCATAATCTATCTGAGCCTCTCTTATTTTTAAAATCTTTACATGGGGACATTATCTTCCCAAGCCACCCGATTTGGATATCATGGTGCTGAGTGACTCTAGCATAGAGCTAAGGATAGACATCACCATTGTTGGTAGCCTGAGGAGGATGCAGGCAAGGGTCTTCATCCAAACAAATTTCATACAAACTCTGGGGCCCAAGTGCTATCCCACCATCGCCCCTCCATGAGCTTCCAGACCTCCTGTTGGCCAATGTCTGCTAATGTCCATCCCCCCAAAAAAGGGAGAAGACATTTCACCAGTAGTTGTTAAGCCCCTGTTAGGTACCAGCCACTAGACCATCCCTAGGGCAACAGATGTGCCAGATGTAGGCTTGGCCTTGAGTCCCCTGCTGTAGGAGTGAGACTGAGGAAACAAATGAATGTAAAAGCAAGATGGCGGCCCAGACAGCCAGTGGGAGCACAGGGCAGGGATCAGCCACCCTTCACCAAGGAAGTGAGCCCTAAGTCCTCAAAACAACTTTGTGTTTGCTAAAGAGACAGAAGGCAGGGAACAGGGGCAAGGAGGCGTGGCCTAGTGTGTCTTACACACCAGCTCCTCCAAAGGTTCTTCCTGTACCAGGGGCTGTATTGTTCCCAAGCTGGGTACACTAGGTGCTGGGGCTTCCCCAACCAAACCAGGGAGCTTAGAGCAACAAATGTATTCTAGCATGATCTGGAGGCTGGAGGTTGGTTCCAGGTGCCAGCAGAGCGTGCTTCCTCTGAGGCTCTGGGGAGTGTCCCTCCTTGCCTCTTACTGGCTTTGGCTGGTGGCTGACAGTCCTTGGCATCCCTTGGTACAGCCGTGTCTCTCCAATCTCTACCTTTTTCATCACATTTTTAGGTGTCTTTCCTCCACTTCTTATAATGACACTAGCATATTGGATGAAGGGCCACCCTACTCCACCATGACCTTGTCTTAACTTGATTATATCTAAAAGACTATTCTCAAATAAGATCCTACTGACAGGGACCAGGATTTAGAACTTTAACGTCACTTTTTGGGAGATACAAATCAACTGGTAAGAGGCTAGCCCATATTTCCTATGCTAACACTGTCATCCTACTGTGTCCCCCAGGGGAAGATGATGGCTGCAATGTTCCAAGAATAGGGAGCCAGGTGTCTAGGTGAAGCAGAGCAGCAGGCAGAGGACACAATGGGTCACAAAGTGCAAATCCTGGTTCTGTCCCTTTCCACTCTATGGCAGGTCCTGGAACGTTTCTGAGCTGTTTTCTCATCTGTAAAATGGAGATAACAATACAACCTAGGTCACAGGGATATCTGCAGAGTTTGTTAGATCAAAACTGTGAAAATTAAAATGTTGGAAACTGCAAAGCTATATAGGTAGTTAAATGAATGAGCTGTTCAGATACATAGTTATACACAAGTTGCTGTATGGTCATGGAAAGAGCCCCCAGTGGGAAATCAGAAGAGATTGATGCAGGTCCTGTGTCATTACTCAGTATTTTGAAAATGGGAACAGATTTGGATGCAAAGTTTCTAAGCCCCCCCCCCCCCGTTTCTGCAATTCCATGGATGCTTATCAGCGCATGCTCCCAAACATGGGAGGGATAACCCTGTGTCATCTACATGCCCTTGATCTGCCCAATGGTTTAAATAAAACACAAATAGTTCGAGCTTAAAAGAGATGACAGTATCAGTTGCTTGAGATTGCAAAAAGGTCTGGGTTTCAAGCCACATGCAATGCCATATACCTGTCATCCCAGCTATTCAGGAGGCTGAGGCAGGAGGATCACAATTTCAAGGCCAGTCTTAGCAATTTAGCAGAGAGACCCTATCTAAAATAGAATTCACATGGTTAAGGATGTAGCCACATCAGTAGAATCCGACGAAGCAGGAGCAATGTTTAAAATCAGCTGGTAGAGCTTTTCCCGAGGAGTTAGTTGTTCTTTATTCTTCCCTGATCAGGGATCAAAGAGTCAGCGTGGGATGGCTAAGGAGAGGATTTCCGCCAATCCCTGTGAGAAATGTCTGGGACCCCTGAATGTTTGTGGAGGAAAAGGTGGACTTGGGAGAATGGAGAGCTGGGCCCAGATATTGAAGGGCTGTCACACGAGAAAGAGGCATTCGATTTGTTTGGTGTGCCTTCTTTGGAAGACAAAAGAGACTTTGCTTGGGAGCCTACCATGTGCCGGAAGCTTTATGTTCATCTTTTCAGGGTCCTCAGTCAATGTCATATGGCAGGACCTTGGGGCAGCCCCAGGGACCACCCAGATGGAGTAGGAGATGCCAGGGGGAGGGCCTGTCTCTGTTTTCTCTCCCTTCTTCTCTTTCTCTCCCTGTAAGCCTTCGTTAAAGAGAAAATTCATTCTACACATGGTTTGAAAAGCAATGTCTTGCTGACAGCTCTCCCAGGGCTGCTATTGTGTAGATGAGGCATCTGAGACTCAGAGGGGTGCAGTAACCCACCTGAGGTCACACAGGAGTCTGGCAAGTGGCAGAGCTGGGAATCCAGCACATGTCTCAACCTCAAAGCCCATGTTTTTATCCCCTATTCTGAGAGCCTCCCAAAGTTACAAAACTTAATTCCTTAGAAAAATCTTCATAGAAGCCAAAGTTTTGCCCCAATCAAATGCTCCATGTATCATGAGCTGGGGTTTCATTTCACTAGAGGAGGGAATTTTTGTTAATTAGTTCATTTGTCCACTTCGCTCTCGGCCAGTATTGATTAAACACCTGTCACGTGACCAGTACTATGCTGGGTGCTACGTTAACAGTGAGTCCCAGGCATGGTCTAAAAAGGTACATGGTGTGAATGCTGGTCACAGACGAGGCATCAGCAAGACTTCTTGGACCCATGACAAATGAGGAAGGATAGCCTGGGAGTTTAGAGGCCTGACTCAGCCTTATGGATGTGTCAGGTCCTGGGAACAGAGGCAGCAGGTTCAGGGAGGATCAAACACACTCTGGAAATGGATCAATCTGGTGAATCCCAGCATGGTCCCAGCTGGGTGACCCAGGGAAAGCCACGTGGTGTCTCTGAGCCTCAGTTTTCCCATTCATAAAACAGAGATAATCATGCCAGCCTAGGAGTGATCTGAGGTCACAGAGAGCTCCCAGCACACTGCCTGTCCCCAAGATGGCACCTTCCTCCTGAAAGCCACCAAAGTTCCTCTCTATCTAAACCTTCCAGGCTCCTTGTCCTCCAGGCCTGGATCTGCACCCAGGTGGCCCCAATGGCTCCGACAGGCCCTGGTTCAGATCACTGCCTCACACTGGCAGTCCCCACAGGCTGGCTGGGAAATGAGCTGGCTTACAGTGGCGAGTGCAAGGTGTGGGGACAGATGTGGCAGGAAGCCAGATCACGGAAGCCCTCTAGTCTTCAAAAAGCATTTGAACTTTGTCCAGTGGAGCAAACCTGGGAAGGGCGAATCCTCTTTCCCTTCTTACCCCCTCCACCCTGGATTTTGACATGAGGGGCGAAGCCCATCCGTCACACATCTTCATGGTGAGGAGAACCTTCTACTGTCCAAGGTGGTGAGTGAGTCCTTCCACCTCTCACTCCTCCGCCACCTCTGGCCGGTCCTGCATGCTTGCTGCCTGGCTTCCCACTGCCTTCTCTGCCTTCAGTCCTCTCATTCTGGCACCTTCTGCAGTCTACCCATCTACTCCCAAGCTTCCACCTCCACCTGCACCCGCGTGACCTGCACATCCGTTCCCCACCCGCATGTCTGTCTACCCTTGCACGAGTCTGTGCACATCTAACATCAGCCAATCTGTACTCGTCCGCCAGGGCTGCCAGCACAAAATGCCACCCTGGGTGGTTTAAACGATAGCCATTATATTTCCTCGCAGTTCTGCAGGCTAGAAGCTAAGATCACGGTTCCGGCCACTTTGGTTTCTGGTGAGGGCTTTCTTCCAGCTCTCAGATGGCCACCTCCTCGCTGTGTCCTCCACACAGTCTTTCCTGGGAAAAACACATGAGTTCCTGGTGTTCTTCTTATAAAAACATAAATCCTATCAAATCAGGGCCCTGACCTTATGAACTCATCCAACCCCAATTACTTCCGTAGAGGTCCCATCTCCAAATACGAAGCTCGCCATCTCCCACCCCCACTCCCAAGACCTCAGCACGTGTGTCCCACCCTGCACCCCATCACCAAGCCACGTCTCACCTGCTTTCTTCTCCCTCCCCCACTCCTAACCCCTCTCCCAGATTCATCAGCTCCCCTGTGGGAGATCATCCCACACTCCTGCTAGTCGTTGTGGTTAAGCTTGTCCCTTGTCACCTCTCACTTTGATAATGGCACAGCCCTCCTACTCAGCAGCCCCTCCCCACCCATCTGCCACTTGGCACACAGTGATCTTCCCGGAATCGAAGCCTGGCACAGTTCTTTGCCACTTAAAAGAAAGAAACATGAGACTTTAATGACAATTTCTCATTGACTTCAGGGTGAAGCACAAAAACTTTTCATGTGGCATCCCAAGTTCTCCGCAATCATAATTCCAAACCAATTTCAAATTCCAGCTCCTCAGATTCCATTCAAAGCAAAGATCACAGTTGA